AGACAGAGACAGAGACAGAGACAGAGACAGAGACAGAGACAGAGACAGAGACAGAGACATATTGAAATGAATATAAAAAGAGATAAAATGCCAAATGTTTTGTAAGGGGATAGGAGGAGGAAAGGGTGAGGTTGTTGTTTTTGTGTTGTTGTTTTGTTGTTGTTTTTTTTTGGGGGGGGGAGCAAAAAGTGATATCAACGAAACAAGACACACAAAAAACCAACAACCCAGAAACTCACGATCCCTTGATGAAGATAGGCATGCACAGGATGGTTTGTGTCTTGTAGCCTGTCCGGATGTCTACCTCGGGGTTGAAGCGCTGGTCCTTGTACGCGTCACGGATGTTGAGAATCTTGCCCGTACTGGCCACATAGCCTGCCACGCCCTTGTTCATGGAGAACCTGTGGTCAGATCGCCAACACAGTCAAGACACAGGCACAGCACAGTCACATCACATGGACAGAACACAGGACAACACAGGCACCTCACAACTCACCACAACGCCAACACAGTCAAAACTCAGGCACGTCACAGTCACATCACAGGGCATGGACACAGTCAGAATACAGTCTTAACACAGACACAACACAGAGGCACAACAAAGTCAAAACACAGGCACAACACAGACAGAACACAGACAGAACACAGAGAACACAGGCACATCACAGTCACATCACAGACAGAACACAGACACAATACAGTCATAACATAGACAAAACACAGACAGAACACAGACACAATACAGTCATAACACAGACACAACACAGACAGAATACAGTCATAACACAGTCAAAACCCAGGCTCAACACAGACACTACACAGACACAACACAGACAGACACAACACACTCACATCACAGAGATACAACAAAATCAAAACTGCACCCCACAGACAGAACACAGACACAACACAGTCACAACACAGACACCACACAGTCACACCACATGCTTAAGACTACAGAGAGGAACGAAGAAATGCCATTGTCTGGGAAAAACCTCCGGGAATCTAATACGATAAAGACAATTGAAAGGTCTGTCCAGATCTTAGACTTTTACTATGACATGTATTATTTATTAAAGATACATAAAACGCTCACAATAATTACATTGATAGGCCTATAATTCTTTAACGTGAACGTTTTACTTAAAGAATATGTGGCTTTCTGATTTGCCTTTGGAAAAAAACCAAATCTAAGTTATGTTTACAAAACATACTATTCTTTAAAGAAGTACTGAAATGCTTAAAGCGCATCCCACGATAATGAATTTTAAATATGAAATGTCACAAACTGTGTTATACAATATTTCGTCAAAAGAGAGTGAGATTTGTTTTAAAACGGCATCTTTCCTGATACAAAAGAATAAACAGACCACATCTAAGCGCTACTGTTAAAATTGTTTCCTTAAAAAATATCAGTGAGTTGTGTTTATGCACTAAAAAGGGAAAAAAGTAGCATTGCATATTCAACACTGGCAAATATTAGCTCTTCATAAAGGGTTATGACACAGTTCAATTTTCAGCGCATTATGCTGAGTATTCGTATAAAGAAGGAAACATTTACATTAACTTGGTTTCAATGGGGTTTGTTCGTATCTCTTTTTGCTCACACTGCACAGTTAAAGAACCAAAAGGCAAGCTGTTTATTTTGCTATGTAGAAATTAGACCACAAAAAAAAGAACTTGTCACAGATTTATTGCCGTACATGACGTGCAACGGCCTCGGAACATCACCTAAAATATCGTTAATCAAGAAGCTGGTCTACATGAGATTACATGACAGAACAGGACACCCTCCTCCCCCCCCCCCCCCCAGCCAAGCCAAACCAACTCTTTGTCAATTCCCCAAGCCCTACCACTCACACAAAGAAAGAAAAGAAAAGGTTTATAAAAAGGAAAACATCATCAACACATTATCAAATCAGAGCCCAGTCGTAACTGATCTAACACAAGATTACTCAAGATGTCAATGCCTGAAACAAAGCCACAGAGTCAAAGGAAAGCAAAGAGAAAAAAAAGTATTTAAAATAAAAAAGAACCTAAACAACAAAGAAAATTCAGAGATCCACACACAGCAAAAGATGTTAGATGTACTGCGACTGCGTCGGGAGTGTTTATGAATTTTAAAAAAAAAAGAGCGATAAAATACACAAACTGTCATTCGCCACCCTAGTCCTTTCTGTAAGACTTTTATCCATTAACAAATTTAATTATCAAAGCTAAAGAGTTCCACAATGATGAGGAAGAAAGCAAAAGGTAAAAACATATCAACATGCATCAATAAGAATGTTTACTTCCAAATAAGAATGCATGGTATTTGTGTAATAGAGTATGCGATGAGTATTGCGTGCTCAGAGAGGTTTAATCAGGACATAAGATTATATAACAGGGATACAATATAGAAACAGGGTGCTGATATCGAGCGATATATAGCCTAATATATTGTTGCAGATATCGAAGGACATTAATTTGTGGATTTCTGTTCCTACAGTCGACCTGCCTTGACGACCACCTGTCCAAGACAATCACGTGTACAAACGACAACTTTCAACTCCTCCCTTAAAAGTTTTTTTTTTATGCTCCGTTATACTAGCATTGTTCAAGAGCGGCGTCTGTATAAGATAACCACTTTCCTCGACAATATTATGTCGTGTACGTGTTTCCGCCGGTGTGTATGTGTGTGTGTGTGTGTGTGTGTGTGTGTGTGTGTGTGTGTGTGTGTGTGTGTGTGTATGTATAAGTTTGTGCGTATTTGTGTATTTATGCGTTGTGTGTACGTATGCGTGTACGTGTGTGTATGTGTATGTGTGTGTGTATGTGTGTGTGTGTGTGTGTATGTGTGTGTGTGTGTGTGTGTGTGTGTGTGTGAGAGAGAGAGAGAGAGAGAGAGAGAGAGAGTCTGAGTGTGCGCGTGTGCGTGCGCGTGTGTGAGCGAGTGAGTGCGTTAGGAAGTAGGATTTTAGGTGGAGGGGTGAACAAAGTTTTAAAAAGAAAGGTGTTGAGAAGTGGTGCTTTCAGACTGATTAGTTTTAGAGAAGCGAGTTTTCAAAATTTATTAATTATTATTATTAAGAGTAGATCCTCTCTATCTTTCTCTCTCCCTCTCTCTCTTTCTCTCTTTCTCTCTTTCTCTTTCTCTCTCTCTCTCTCTCTCTCTCTCTCTCTCTCTCTCTCTCTCTCTCTCTCTCTCTCTCTCTCTTTTGCTCTTTTATTTTAAAAGACTGACAAAACTTAACAACATCAAGAAAAGGGGTTGGGGGTGGGTTATATACAGAGCAGCACTAATCTTTGTTATGTACAAAAAGCACATTATTCGTGAGACAAAAAGCAAACTTTATTCATAAATGTAACACAAAACGTGGACAATTCAGTTAAAAGACTAAATGGCAGAGAATCTGTTCAGAAATTCATGTCTTTGGTCAACGTTTTAATTGACAAACACAGAGCAAGAAAATTAGAACAACATTAGAATTATAGCTTTCACAAACGATCAAAATGGCCTTTCAGTCAAGCACACAATCACGAAGGTGCATTGATTTAACCCTTTTGAGCCATACCGGCCTAAACTGGCCTTCCCGTTATACTATTGCCAAGCCGGCTTTTACCTCCTTTCCAGCTGTAGAGCCATACCTGGTTTTACCGGCCTGACACACCCGCCTTCAGCGCATGCTTAGAAATAAGAACAATCCACTCTAAATTTAGATTCTGATGTCCTAGGGCTTTCTATGTGAAATTTTATTGATACACGTCGTTTTGATCAAAAGCAAAAGCAATTTCTCTCCTATGCACCACGAGCCTCTGAAAAACATTGAAATAATTCGGTTCTGGGAAGCCATCAGCTGGCCGCCATTTTGGTTTTGCTGTGTTGACCTGCTGACTTATTTATGGTGCTAAGAGGGTTGAACATGACTGTTTCAGCAAATATGCCCGTCAGTTCTCTGACAACATGCTCTCACTACAACAGCTAAATGAAATGTAAAACGGTTTAGATTTACTATTAGGTTTATTTTTTTATTTTAAAAAGGGCCTCCGTGTTTAACGTCCATCTTCAAAAGAAGCGAGCCAAATACAAAATTCGTGGAAGGTGCCTTTCCCAAGCATACAACGTCTGACCGAGCTAAGGCTCGAACCCATGAATCCGCAAGCTCACGATTATGGGTCCGGTAGCCAAACCACCCGGATACCAATGCCATTCAGCAACAGCTGGAAAAGTTGTCTAACTGGGAGCCTGGGAGAACACTCCACTTTAAAATTAAAAGCAGACTCTACGCTTATCGTCTTTGTAGTAAAGTTTTAGAAAAAGGTACTTCATTAATTGGCATCACTATGGCAACAGCAATAAAATTGTTCTCGCACTTACCAACAGGGCAATAAGGTCTACGGCACGGCAAAGTACATGACCCACCCTCTCCCCTTATTTCTGGAAAGTTATTTATCTTAAATCTATGGCGGTTTTGCTACGTGATAGGATCCAAAATTGGCAGTGAGATTTGTACATCATTAGAGCTTTCAAGATTTTAGGGTGGGTTTACCTAGTATTCATTACACCAGGGGCGACCAAACTTTTTCCCAAGTGAGCCAAATATCTGAGAGATTGCCCAAGGCGGGGAGGACAATTATGTAAATCAGTGCAATACACTGAAGTGATAAAAGAAAGCTGCGTCACATTAAAGCAAAACTAGACTTTTATCAGTTCGTTAGAAGTTATAAGGTCTATGAAAGCATGTTCAATTTGCACAGGAGAGATCAATGAAATGGTTAACTTAAGTTTGATGACAAGTCCTGAGCACGCTATATACACATCTTTCAAATTTCTTTTTCGGCGTGGTGGCTTGGCGACAGGCCAGATAAACTGACGTCGCCGGCCTGATCTGACCCACAGGCCGTAGTTTGGTGACCCCTGCGTTAAGCGATGAAATATCTAAAACAGGTAACTAACGGATAGTTAATGACGTTCCTCGACTATTGTAATATCATCAGTATGCTCACGTCGTGCTAGAAGAAAGCAAAACGATTATGCATACGACCAAATAATAAATATATACGTATGTAGGAAAATACACCATGCTGTGCTGAGCAGTGTAGGGTTAACATGCAAGACAACAAAGCAACGCATTACGACGTCCATGCCACCCAAGAGATCAAACCTGATATCCTGCTGCTGCCAGTCCGATCTCGTTTTTCGCTTCACCACCAGCTTGTCCTTCTCTTTGTCAGAATCCGAGTTCTCCTGGTCTTGGTCGCCATCTTCTTCACTTCCGCTTCCGGAGATGCTATGTTTAGCCTCGGGAGACTTGATCTCGCCGGAGATGTGCTCGTCCAGGGAGCAGCCGTCGTCAAAGATGCGGGCGTAGAGCTCGTGGGAGCGTGTGTCCAGTAGGAAGAGAGAGGCTCTGTCTGCGTACACGAGGGCTTTGGCGAAGTTCTGCACCAAGCAACACGTGGCAACGGTTATAGGAACACACAGGAAAACAACTAAACCCAAACTACTTGCCTGTTTTTGTACTCCAAGGCGCATGCACTGGCTCGATCTCTTTTTCAAAAAAGGCATTATACCAATGGACGAGCCTTTTCATACAATGAACATTATAAGAAAGCAGTACTTCATTCTCGTCCAACACTCATCAAATATTACACATCAGAAATAACAATATTGCCTCACCGTAGACAGGTGTCTTACCAACAAGGTCGACTCTTCTCTCATTAAAAAACCCCCAAACAGAATAGAAAAAAACCCCGAGACTAGCTACGAAAAAAGTAGGTGTTTTGTGCATACATAAACAGGTAGGCCAACAGAAGAGGGCAGGTGAACTGTGCCAAAGGGTGTCTAAGTAAAGTTGCAGTATACAAACAAACAGCACTCTAAATGACAATCAGTCAACAACAAAAATAATACATGGAAAGACCACGCACTTGGACTCCTTGGATCTTTTGGCATTTGAAATGAGAAACCCATTTACCGATTTGGAGGAAACAAGAAATTAACTTGTCCGGGGAGTACAGTCGACAGTGACAGTGAAATCAAGAAGACATACAGGAAGAGCAGATATCGAAGTCTTGGAAACTGCTTGTCGCGGGGGCGAGGACGAGGGGCGGGGGCGTTGGAATCACGAGCAAGGAGTATAATATTTATGTGGCATTCGAAAATTCACTATTGACAGACAATGCAGAAACCAGTCTGTAATATATTTATTGGAATGTAATTTTTATTAAACTAGCCGGTTCATGGTTTGGCAGATATATGTATTTCTGTTTTAAAGTCCCTCTTCAGAAAGTCTGGACTCTTCGGCGGGAATCTGTTTATGTATACAGAGTATTTTTTCATATCTCATAGATACTACAATACCATTCCCCAGCTAAATAGGAAACATCAAGATACGATGGCAGGCATGCAAAACATGGCTTTTAATCAAGAAGAAAACTAAACACCAGTTGGATGTAGAATAAAATCACACTTAAGTGCAGTAAAAGTAAAGCAAAGTGCATTAAACACACATTCTAATCGTTTAGACGGAACAAACAGCTCAACATTAGCAATAAAGTAAATGTGAGGTATCGTGGTGAAATCAGGCGCTCGTCAAAAATAATGAGATAAAAAAAATTGGCATTTTTCTGACCGATTGAGCATTTTTTTTTCCTTTTTTGGGGGGGCTTAACGCCAATTATATCCATTAAAAAACACATTTCTGTGTGGATTTTGCTGAAACACATTGATTAACGGCACAAAGAGTGCACATTTTCAGTTAATAAGTATTCTCAATCTATAGAAGTCACCAAACTTTGGCGGCCATTTTCTCGCTTATTTTACCTCTGAAATCATGCAATCCCGATTCTTTCAATGGCAAATATCCCGGCTTTTATTCAATGTGGATGGGTATCAATTAACAAGCTTTAAGATGACACTAACAACTTCAAATGCCCCAAAATTGACAAGTGCCTGGTTCCAACGCGTCGTAGCACAAATTGTCTCCAAGGTTAGTGGTGAACAAAAGAAACTAATACAATTATTGCCCAGGTTTCACTTTACACGGCATTCAATATGGTGAAAACTCACTAAGACCTACTTGCTTTTGATGTTTCTTCTACCTGCATTTCTAGTACAGTTTTTAAGAAACGCGTACAGACAAACACACACACACACACACGCACACACACACACACACACACACACACACACACACATACACACACAAACACACACATACACACATGCACCCCCACAAACAAACGCACACACAATTCTCTCTCTCTCTCTCTCTCTCTCTCTCTCTCCCCCCCTCTCTCTCTCTCTCTCTCTCTCTCTCTCTCTATCTCTCTCTTCTATTTGTTTTCTTTCTCCCTCCTTTCTCCTCCTTCTCACCCAAAGTTTTCCCTTCAGATAGCAGCATTTATGTATAAGTCAAATTTATTTTACTTGCTTTTGCAAACAAATTAAACCATGAGAAAATACAACCCAGAATCTAAACACCCCCTTATTTCGAGACCCCTGATTCTTTTTGGTCCTGTATCTGAAGTAGTCATGTTAAAATAAAGCATAAAACTAAAATATATAATAAACTAAAGTAAAACAACAGCAACTACAAAAAAACACACACACAAAAAGCAATAAACTACAGAATACCATGTAATCCACTACTTGGTATTGCAGCCAAGCAAGAAACTAGGGCAAACCGTGCCGCCAGTTACACATCAGCTGATCTCTTAACTCTATTGTGGTATCCTCCAGCCAACGACAGATCAAAAGGATTTGCTTCAGCCGTAGAATAACACGTATGAGCTTAGAGACAACCAGATTTGTTATTTTTAAACCAACTGAAAAACATGTAGGAGATAACAAGTAAGAACAAATTAATAAAGGTGGAGCAAAGTACAAACAGACGAAAAAAAAGGTTTCAATCAAACTATAATTGACACTCGAGAGGAATTCAAAGAAAAGCGAACAAGCCGAAAGCTCACACTCAAGCAAAGTTAGCAGAATCTAGAAACTAAACTGTAAGTCCCGCCACCAGTCAGAAATCCCCGGGGGGGGGGGGGGGGAGAGAAAGAGTGGGGAATGAAAGTAAACGGGTAAAAGTAAAGTATAGCCCTCCATTTCGAACTGCTTGACCTTGTGCGCAACATACGGAGGAGTCGCAGTTAGGGACATAGAGGGATTGCTGCTAAGTCTTACTGGAACAGGAACCAGCGTGTTGTGGCTGTCTTGAAGCGCGAAGTCATTGGAAAGGGGGGGGGAGGGGGGAGGGGGGAGGAGAGAGAGAGAGAGAGAGAGAGAGAGAGAGAGAGAGAGAGAGAGAGAGAGAGAGAGAGAGAGAGAGAGAGAGAGAGAGAGAGAGAGGGGGGGGCTAATACTTTACTTTTACCAGTAACAGTTCAAAGAGGTGAGGGTGAAACGTTTGCGTGTAGGAGGAACGTGTGAAGTCTCAAAGTCCGTGCAGACCTGATCTCCTCACACGTCCGACGTTCGGCCACCGCGGCTGTCTGAGCGCCGCCCGGGTCGACCTCAGTTCCGTTGTTGTCGCTGTCGGGCGCGGGCGGAAGAGAGCGTTTCTTGTCGTAGCCCATGTCAAAGATCCGGGCGTAGAGCTCGTTGGTGTGGTGGTCCACGAGGAAGAGAGAGGCTCTGTCCGCGTCCACAAGCCGCTGGGCGACGTTCTGGCTCAAAGGAGGACGGGCGTGTGCGGGCGTAGATTAGATAGGTCATGGGTGTGTGCGGGCGTAGATTAAATAGGTCATGGGTGTGTGCGGGTGTAGGTTAGATAGGTCATAGGCGTGTGCGGGCGTAGATAAGATAGGTCATGGGTGTGTGCGGGCGTAGATAAGATAGGTCATGGGTGTGTGCGGGCGTAGATTAGAGAATGAGATGCGAGTGTAGATTGGATAGATCATGGGTGTGTGCCGGTGTAGATTAGATGGGTCATCGAGTGTAGATCAGATAGATGATGGGTGTGTGCGAGTGTAGATTAGATAGGTCATGGGCGTGTGCGGGTGTAGATTAGATAGGTCATGGGCGTGTGCGGGCGCAGATTTGACAGATGCGAGTGTAGATTACATAGGTCATGCGTGTGTGCCGGTGTAGATTAGATAGGTCATCGAGTGTAGATTAGACAGGACACGGGTGTTTGCGGGCGTAGATTAGACAGGACACGGGTGTTTGCGGGCGTAGATTAGATAGGTCAAGGGTGTGAACGAGTGTAGGTTAGATAGATCATGGGCGTGTTTGTGGGCGTAGATTAGATAGGTCAAGGGTGTGTGCGGATGTAGATTAGATAGGTCTTAGCGTGTGCAGGTGTAGATTAGATAGGTCATTGGGGTGTGCGGGTGTAGATTAGATAGACGATGTGTGTGTGTGTGTTCGAGTGTAGATTAGAGAGATCGTGAGCGTGTACAGGTGTAGATTTTGACAGACAGAAAGTTTATTTATATAACCGCCTACATACGTTCTATGTCCACAAAATAATGGGGTATACAGGGATCAATTATTGTGACGGACAGAAAGTTTGTGGTGTGGTTTGCTCCTTCTTTCCTATCAAACATCTATTGTCCTTATCTAACCTCGTTCTTTTCTTGTTTGTTACTCTCTTGTAACATTTCTAATCTTCGGCCTACATGTGCTGTTATTGTTTAGCGATTGCCGCAAAACTCTTACTAAAACTAAAAAAAAGAAAGAATCCAGTCTATGTTCTCTGTTCATGTATGTAGTCCTAGCCTTGGGTAAAAGAGAGGCTTTGTCTAAATGTCCCACTGCAGCTCGCTTGTTTGGAACCCCGCGGGAGAAAGAGAGAGGGTGGGTGGGGTCAAGGTAACGGAGGTTTTAAATTCCCGTTAAAGCTGTACGAAAAGAGATGTTGCTAGCGGAAGAATAAATGGAATTCTTTAATTGTTTCTGACGAGTGAAGAGTATAACGGCAGAGGTCAGAGGGTAACCGTGCGTTTTTAGATAGTGCAGATCTTATGACCCCACTACTTACTGCTATTCAGGGCTCGCAGGTAAACATGTAAAAGCGCATTATTTATTTTTAGACAAGACGAGGTGAACATAGTGAAGCCCTACAACGAACGATGCAGTAGTAAAGTATCAAACAGTTAAACGCTGACGAGCTCAGCCCTACAAATAAGGACGTCCGTACGAAGAAAAGCAACTGAACAGTCTAAAATTAAGCAAACTGACAGGAACAAAATTAACATAAACAGCAGCAACAACAATCTACAACAGTATTGACAATACCAATTTCTGTGACAACAGTAACTACAACAACAGCGAAATAGGTCCACTACAAGTGTGACTTTTTAAAATAATGTTGGTTGGTAACCGAAAAATTGCAGACATGAAGCAAGGCGTGATTTTGAAGCTGTAAAAAAAGCGTGCGTTGTGGTACAACATCAATGAGCTATCAAAATGATTTGTTGGAGTAGAAGGAACAAAAAACAAAAAAACAAAATTGACTACTTTCAGTGGCCGTTCTCAAGTTCGAAAGTTCAAATGGCCTTTAACCCCCCCCCGAAAAAAAAGAAAAAAATGTTTGTAGTCTGTTAAATGTGCAATAACATTTCAAAGTATAAAAGACAAAACGAGTCATCGGTGAGCCAAGAAGAGCTGTTGGTTAAATAGAAATGGTCGTCCTTGTCCTAGTCCTAGATCTATCTATCTGAGGCAGCTGTATAAAGCGTGATTGCCTGGCACGAAAAGAAAAGTAGTGACCTTTTTCCTAGTCTAACGGGTGCAGAAAAATAGAAAAGGTTCACAAGGTATGAAACCTCTATTGTATAGATTTAAACCTATCTGACAAAAGGTATTATTAATGAGGCAGGGGCCCATAGTGTTTTCTTTCGACTTTGGTAAATGAGAGAAAGGTGGAGGGCAGCGATGAAAACATGCTATACAATCAAAATTCAAGAATTCCCAGACACATTCGAACCAGGGCCATCTAAAATACAGTCCAGTATGATACCATCTGAACCCACAGAGCCCGATTGGGAAGGTCGCCTTGTCAAGAGAACGTTCGTTATAGAAATCAACGAAAGTTAACGAATCAAGAAACAAGAGCTCACACTGGCAGCATTAATTGTTTAAGATAAATGAGCTCGTTTCAGAGACGAGTCGACACAAGAATGTAGGGACATTTACCAGCACATAATATTAGAACTCTTGTGCCAGCACACAATACAAATCTGCTCACTCGCAGAAACACCACGACTGAAACAATCTGGTCGTTTGGCCATCTGAGATAATCTACTCGGGGACACAATATTCTAGTGACGTCGCCGGCACAAAGCAACTTTATGACGCCCTGATTAGCGTCACCCTTGTTTACACCATCTCGTTCCCCTTCAGAGTCCCCGTAAAGGCATGGTGCTTAAAAACCAATACATGTGGAAGACAGGCGATGAGTCTGGATTTTTACAATAGAGTCTGGGATTTTACCATGGAGTCTGGGTTTTTACAATAAAGTCTGGGTTTTTACAATAGAGTCTGGGATCTTACAATAGAGCCTGGGATCTTACAATAGGGTCTGGGATTTTACAATAGAGTCTGGGATTTTACAATCGAGTCTGGGACCTTACAATAGAGTCTGGGATATTACAATAGAAACTGGGCTCGTACAATAGATTCTGGGCCTTAAAATGAAGTCTGAAACCTTACAATAGAGCTTGATCACACTCTGCGTGTGAAGAGGAACCAGAATATGGTGGCAATTGTGGTGGGAAAACACTCGAGTCTACGTCAATTTTAGAAACCAACCATCGTCACTGGTTTGTGCCATCACATCCGTCGTTTTGGTAATAAATTGAGATACCGAATCGGTGAGGGATTTCGATTTTAAATGATCTTTCTCTATTTATAGATATGTGTATATATACACGTATTACTATTGTGTATTTTATAATGCTATCATTTTCTCTTTCTTTTGCTCACATTTACCAATGAAATACAACCATACTCGCACAAACATCTTTGCTAATTTTTCGACCCTCCCCCTTCTCTCTCAGTCTTTCCCTCCCTTTCTCTCTCACTCTCTCTCTCTCTCTCTCTCTCTCTCTCTCTCTCTCTCTCTCTCTCTTTCTCTAAATCCCCCTCTCTCCATCCTTCTATTTATCTCACCTC